GGACGTTGTTATACTCTCGGATCGCTTGAATGAAAGTTACAGAGGACTTTTCATTCCGCCACGGCCGGATAAAAGCATAGTGGAGAGTCAGGTCATGCAAAAGCAAGATTTTGTGGAGCAGAGAACATTGGCATTGGAGAAGTACTTGAAGAAGCTCACGGAGCACCCAATGATTAAGAAAAGCGATGAGTTGAGGGTGTTTTTGACGGTTCAGGGGAGGATGCCACTGCCTCCGAGCATTGATGTGGCGTCAAGGATGCTTGACGGAGCGACGAGGCTGCCTAAGCAGTTGCTGGGAGAGTCAAGGAGCATGATTGAGCCTCAGGATGTGGTGCAGCCGGCCAAGGGTGGGAGAGATTTGCTGAGGTTGTTCAAAGAGTTGAAGCAGTCAGCTGTGAATGATTGGGGCGGGTCAAAGCAACTTGTGGAGGAGGAGGATAAGGAGTTCTTGGAGAAGAAGGAGAAATTGCGTGGTCTCGAGGAGCAACTCACTGATGCATCCAAACAGGTTTCTTCAACATTTGTATCACTAGTTAATATTTATATTGTTTTGTTGCATTTAGTATATGATGATTAGCATACTCATGCACGTCAAATTTGACATTTTTTGCATAACAAATGTCCAGATCAATTCAAATTTTAATTTTGTGTCCAATGTTATAGAGAACTGCTCTTGGAAGATTAATTTGGTGTTTTAAAATGTTAGGCTGAGACATTGGTTAAAGCCCAGCAAGATATGGGGGATAAAATGGGAGCATTAGGATTAGCTTTCATTAAGTTGACAAAGTTTGAGAATGAACAGGCCGTATTGAATACTCAGAGACTGAGGGCTGCTGACATGAAAAGTGTAGCAACTGCATCTGTCAAAGCATGCAGATTGTATCGAGAATTAAATGCGCAGACTGTGAAGCATTTGGTAAGTGCTGTAACTTTGTTATTGGTCTTTATTTTGTAATAAGTTGAAGAATTGTTTTTTTGCTGCTCAAACTGCCAAGTAAGCTAGCTTAGAGGCAAGTGTTGAGGTCATGGGAGTACAAGGTCCAAGTTATATTCCCATAAAAGCGTTCACTGTTTATCCAGTAATATGCTGGTTATTTCTCCTACTTTATGTAGGTTCATGTGATTAGCAGTTTCTTTTGCAAATCCTTTAGTTATAATATTCCTTGCACGAGGGATTAATTGCTATAATCTCGTGGCTTGTTTGGTAACGTGAAATTCAGGGCATTGGACATTGTTAAGGAAAACAACTTAAAATCTCGTCTTTCGTACTATTTAGCCCATGTTTGGTGGAAATTAAAATCTAGATTTTAATTTACAACTTTTCAATCACACATCTCATCAAATTTTATCAAAATCTACAAAAAATCTAATTTAACTCTCATTAAACACGGGCTTAGTCTTTCTTGTGCTATATACCAAATGAATTCAAAAGGTGGTAAAAAAGGATCAAACTAAGCAATGTGATATTCCTTCCACTAAAACATGACAAATTTCTGTATGTATGGCAGGATGCACTGCATGAACACATGGGGCTGATGTTAGCTGTAAACCATGCATTCTCTGATCGTTCAAGTGCTTTATTAACAGTACAAACTCTTATATCAGAATTGTCTTCTTTGCATTCAAAAGCTGAAAAACTTGAAACGGCATCATCCAAAAATTCTGGCGGTTACAAGTCAAGGATTCACAAATTGGAAGAGCTGAAGGAGACCATTAGGGTCACAGAGGATGCTAAAAGCTGCGCTGTCAAAGAATATGAAAGAATCAAGGTATTTATTCCTACTATGGTTTACTAAAACTAATCTTCGAGTATCATTACCTGATATTTTCATCCATTTGTTTCTTGAGTATCACCTACATGAATGGCATTTGCTCGATGCTAAGTCTTAGATGTCAATTATTTGAAGCCAGCCATTTCATCAATTCCCCCCCCCCCCCCCCCCCCCCCNCTATCAGTAGCAGGACAAAACGCGTCTTCCGACGACTTTCCTGTGGGCCCTCAATTCACCCCCATTATATTCTCCCACTTCTCAACCCTTCTTTCAGCTCCTGTAACTGCATCAAACCTCATCAAATCTCGTTTGAGTTGAGTTGATTGTACGGACCCTTATTCAAAGAACGAAGCTTTAATGGCGGAAAACGGTGAACAGAAACTTATTGCCGTTGCTCGACATATAGCAAATACTCTGGGCCATACCGACACCATGACTGATGATATTCTCAAGATATTCTCTAACTTCGACGGGAGATTACGTGAAAAGTTAACGGAAAAACTTTCCGATGAAGACCCACGTGATTGCGCCACACTGGAACATACCCTCAAGTCTTTGGACCGTCAGATCTCCCGTTATGTGGCGTCTGACCAACTCATTTGGTCAGATTCTGCTGATTCGTCGTCCTTTCTTGATTCCGTGGATCAATTGATATCTGCCATACGGGATTGGAACCAGTTAGCTGATGACAAGAACATCGCTACTTGTCTCGACCGGGCGGAGGATTTGCTGCAACAGTCAATGTTCCGTTTGGAGGATGAGTTTAGGAGCCTAGTGGAACGCGGCGCCGAGTCTTTTGACTTGACTCATAGCGAGTCTACCCATCTTGATAGCGCAGATGAGGATGAATCTGGTGAGGAAGATGGTGATGGGAATGAAATCCCCGTGGCGCATCCGATTACGGACTATAATATAATAATTGATGCTTTACCGGCAGGAACTATAGGGGACTTGCAGGAGATCGCAAAAAGGATGGTCGCTGCTGGGTACGGGAAGGAGTGCTCCCACGCGTATAGCGCGTGCCGGAGAGAATTCTTGGAGGAGAGTTTGGCAAGGTTGGGCCTTCAAAAGCTGAGCATTGATGAGGTCCAGAAATTGCAGTGGACTCAATTAGAAGACGAGATTGAGAAATGGATCAAAGCCATTAATGTCGCACTTCGAATTCTCTTCCCAAGTGAGCGTCGCCTCTGTGATCGCGTGTTTTTGGGGTTCTCCTCGGCTGCTGATTTATCCTTTATGGAAGTGTGCAGAGGATCAACCATTCAGCTACTGAATTTCGCAGATGCAGTTGCAATAGGTAGCCGTGCACCGGAGCGGCTTTTTAAGGTGCTGGATGTGTATGAAACGGTAAGGGATTTGTTGCCTGAATTTGAGTTAATTTTTTCTGATCAATACTGTATAACTTTAAGGAATGAAGCAGTAACTATATGGAAAAGACTAGGAGAGGTTATTAGAGGAATATTTATGGAGTTAGAGAATTTGATCCGCCGGGACCCAGCCAAGGCTGCAGTTCCCGGTGGTGGGCTACATCCCATAACTCGATATGTGATGAATTATCTTCGGGCTGCATGTCGCTCTCGACAATCCTTAGAACAGATCTTTGGGGAGAGTATTGCACCACCTGGTAGCAATGTTGATTACAGGAAAGGGGATGATAGGGTATTGTCCTCATCGTTGGCGGTGCAAATGGAATGGATTATGGAGTTGTTGGAGAGTAATTTGGAGGCAAAGTCAAAAATTTATCGGGAATCTGCTTTATGCTCTGTATTTATGATGAATAATGTGAAGTATATTGTGCAAAAAGTGAAAGATAGTGAATTGGGGACGCTGTTGGGGAATGATTGGATTAAGAAACACAATGCAAAGATAAGACAATATCATGTGAATTATCAAAGGAGTTCATGGGGCAAGGTTTTGGGAGTTCTGAAGGTTGATAATAATTCTCTGTCTCCTAATGGAGCTTCAAAGAGTTTGAAATTATTCTATTCATACTTTGAGGAGATCTGCAAAACCCAGTCTTCGTGGGTGATCTTTGATGAGCAGTTGAGAGACGATTTGAGGAATTCAGTTTCTGGGACTTTATCTCCGGCGTACGGCAAATTCATTGGCAGATTGCAGAATGCTCCAGATCCCGCAAACCATCCGGATAGGCATATCAAGTACAGCGTGGAGGATATAGTGGCTCGAATCAACAAGTTGTTTCAAGGAAGTGACAGTAGCAGAAGGTGAGACCAGACCTAGTAAGAAAACGATCTGTTGCCGTATCATGTATACTTTTTGTAGTTTGTGAAAGTTTGATTGGATGTTAATGTCATCTTGTTGTAGTATGGTCTTTGCTTTGCTCTATCTTTTAAGCTCTTTGCACACAACTTGTATGTTGTAGTTGAAATCATGGCATTTTGTAACAAGATATATGATTATATAGTTTAATGACTCCATTTGCTCGAATTGCTTGGGATGTGAGGAGTGGTGCCTATGTCTGCTTAAATTCTCATGCAGGGTACAAAAACTTATTTCTGTAAACTGAATTAACTTCAATGACGTAGTGTGCACTTAACTTTCATCATTACTCAACTATTATAGCTTGTTGCTGTGTTAGAGTGTATTGAAATATTTGCGATATTGGTCCATATTCTTTTCGCCATAGAACATGTCTTGCTTGTTCTCCCTGGACTCCTACTCTTTCTATGTATAACTCTGAGTCTCTGAAATGAGAATGCTGAATTATGGAAACGAAGTTTTTGCTCATTCCTGGTGAGTTTCAGTTGTATGTGAGGAAATTGTCCAAGATTGATTCCTATTTGAGCCAGTTTACCTTGCAGGAGGACTGCAGTCTAATCAGTCAGAATCATGTTTTTTTCCGTCTCTAGTTTTGTTTTAACTAATATCATTTTGTGTCAACTTTTGGATCCTAAGTTCAGTTTGTTGTTTGCTATCCTCATGGTTATGCACAAGATGCTGTTGGAGGGTTTAGAGGTGGCGAAGGAGCACCATGGTTATGGAAATATTGGTGGTCGGTAAGGATGTCCTGGTTCTGATTATGCAGGTGGTGAAATGGTGTGGAGAGTGACGAGAGAAAGTGAATAGAAATAGAGAACTTCGTTTGACTATATGGATTAGTCCAGTAGGATTCTCCTTAGCAGAATCAAGTATCGCTGCCTCTCAAACACCTTAGTAATTATAGGTTCTTATAATTTCTCTCTTCTAACTACTCATCACCCTGGAAATCTCATGCTGTTTGCACCAACTCTGGCAGAAGAAAAGGATTTCTAAGCCAAGACTTGAAAAGGAAAAAAAAAAAAAATTAAAAAAAAAATCATTTTGCTCAAAACTAGGACAAATCTTCTGTGACTGAATATCACCATGGTATCGATTTTGTCCGATTATCAGCGAAGAAACATACATTTGGGATACGAGTACAGGATTTTAGTCCAGTAGAAATTTATAATAATTTTCCATGGCTGGGTAACGACACAATATTTGCTGGATTATCAGTTATGAGCAAGTATGATATGCTACAGTATAGTACTGCATATAACAAGTGCCAAATTCTATCACAAATGTTTCCCTAGATCAGTACAATACAATCCAATTTAGTTCAGCCTACCAAACATACCATTGAAACGTAATGGCAACCAAATTGACGTGTCTAGTGTTTGCATGATCTATGTCAAGTGATCACTGGCTTCTGAAGTGTGAACTTGGGGAGAAGTTTCTTTGCCAGATGATTAGCCTCGAGTTGACACTAGTAGACCCAAAATGTGAAGTAAGCTGATTATGAATACCAATTAGATGTTATGACCCACCATTAAGGTTGACTGCGATCTGCTACCAAGCATATGTTAGACGAAGAAAGTCATTCTATGCCCAAAAAAATGAACACGGGTCCAAAATGATGTATACATGTTCAATTCAAATGAGACAAATAAAAGTGACGTGGTTGTGGCTTCAAAATCAGTAGGCTTCTCAAGACTGTCGAAACTGACTACAAGAAAACATTTGAAAATATATGAGTTAATGGGCTCAATGAATGGAGATTTGAAAATAATTATACACTCTCTCAATTATACAGATTTTTGAAAACTCGATTTCATGTCACTTAACAATTCACATCGTAAAATCCAATAATAATAATAATAGTAGTAGTAGTAGTAATAGTTAAAGTTAGTGAGACATTTTCTTAAGTTGTTTAAAAATACAGTCTGCAATAAAATGAATCAGAGTACGTAAATCACTTCTATTCCTGCAAATAATGTCATCTAACAATTATAATAAAATCATCCGACTGAAACTAGTACTCAAAAGTTTGTAATCCCATTGCAGGAAAATGTCACAAAAAATTTACCCTATGAGCATGTACGGTGAGGTAATGTGTAATCTGTTCATGCGTGCATAAACTGCAATGCATTCCCGCACACGGGCCAAAGTCCCATCAGTGCACCTCTGATAATAATATCCAGCACACGGTTAAGATTCCTCAATGCACTATATGTACATGGTCAAGACCCTTTAGTGCAATATTGAAATGCTGAGGAAGGTGTCTATGTTGATTAACCACCATGAATGCTATTCCAGAATAAGTACTGGGAGTGGTTTGCACAGAATGGAGTTGGGTGAGCATAGAGAGGACCAGCTTCCAGTAGTCCAGTTCCACAGCACTCTTTTCTGATTTCCACGACACCTGTACCACATAATGAACGTTTTAGCATTTTAACATTTGAAGTGTTTAAACATTATCAACTTCTTCTTGACATGAGAGCTCTCGCGAAAAAAGTGTTATATGAACAAAAGAGGTCCTTGAGGTAAAGTTCACTTGAAGAAGGGAGATTTTTCTAAATGGCCTATCACTATTCATTCTTGCCAAAATGTCTATAATATCCTTAATGAAATGGCTTGTCATATTTTGCACAAAATATCCTAATTTATTGGAATAGTTCCAAAATTCTTCTATTTCTCTCATTTCGAATTTTAATATATAGT